ATTTAAATGGATTAAATCTTTATTGAAATTATAAATAAGATTTTTACTATTTGTAAAGTAAAATTGAAATCAATACAAACTTTCCTTACATATATTTTTTTTTCAATTTTGTTTCCTATTGGTTTTTTGATTTGAATATATTTAATTTATTGGAAGAAGAGTTTTTGCGTTATATAACGTAGTGGAATTTGCTGTTGTAAAGAGTTTCATCCTCTCTTTGATCACTAAAGTTATTTTCATATGACCTAGTTGAAGAAGAAATTTTTGCCATTGCAAGTTTCCACTCACCGAGAAAATTACAATATATACTTGAAACAACTTATTTTTAACATACAAATTAAATAAGAAGAAAATTGATGCTGTTAAAAAAAAATATATAATCTGCAACAGTTGAATTATAAAAAAATTTTAATTCTAAAAGTAGATTTGCGTTATATCGATGAAAATGCGGTGATATCAATTTATTTCAAAAGGAATTTACGGGGACGGTTACTGTAAAGCTTAGAAACGACGTTACGTAATATTAGTTTCGAATGGAAAGTCACGTCACTGCGTTGTCCCGGGCTTTAAGATGGCATTTGATGTTTCAATGCGGCAATCCCGAATGATTCCATAAAGCGTAACCATCAATTGAGCACGTAATTCGGTTTGCATTGCTGGAATACACACATAACAGACACCCGCAGGATATTCTAATAGAAATGTCTATTTTCCTATATATATTTTTTTTTTCTGACCCTTCGAGCTGCGCTTTTATCCTTTTTTTGTGCCTCCGTTTGGAGCGGACATTCCGACGAAGGCTCCCCGGAGATTCCATAAAGTTTTGCCATCAAAATTCGATTTTGCATTCGACGAACGGAAATAAACAATTTCTGCCTCTGCTTTTATACCTTCAACCTGTGCCGATTTCTCTACGTAGCTTTCTGGATAAAACAAAAATATAATCTGACCGGAGGATAAAATAGCACAAATGAGTGGAAGCTATATATATTGTTTTTTGTTTTTTCGTTATTCGGAATTTTTGTGAATGAAAAGCGACGAATAGATGAACGTAACCCTTTATCATTTTGCCGTCGTTCGAACTCGACCCTTTCATCATAAAATATTCTATTTATTGTTCCGGAATTGAAATAATAAACTGACTGATGAAATGGACCTGCACTGATTCACGCAACAACGAACGAGTAGTATAAACGAACAAAAAAAAAATACAATATGTTTGTATAATAATTTTCAATTACTCCAGGTTCGCATTGGCTTTGACATCTATTGTCAATACACTATGTATAATAGACTTTGTCCAATCAATAGACCAAAGTTGATTACATAGAGTACTGAAAAAAAAATCCACTTTATTATTAATCAGAAAAAAATGTGATATCGCTTTTCAAACTCATATATTGAAACTGTTTGATCTTTGATATATACTGTAATTACTATTTTATTTTTATTTATTTTTTGGCATGGTAAAAAGAATTGCGAAAACATTCGGTAAAGTTATATAAAAAAAAACCGCTTTGAAATAATGACTCGGTCGACAGGGCTGAAATATATTTCAGATCAGATCCATACTTTTCAGGCACTCTGTGGAATTGTTATTGTAAATAATAAAAATGTTTTGGACCATTGTTTTCTTAGAAGGATCTTTCAGTTTGATAGGACTGTATAAACAAAAGATGCCGGAGGCGGCCTGTGCTATTTCCCTTCGCGATTCTGTATATATATTTTTTGTTGCGGTATTGATTTCTGCACGGTGGCCCGGTATCTTGCAATCCCTGCCTAAAATATGTCGGTTAACTTTGGCCCTACCTTTAGGTAACGTTCCGAATGCGTTTGGAAAGGAGAGTAATATATATATATATGTATATATTTTGCACGGGAATAAACAGAACGCAGAGGCTCAGGCTTTATTGATTTGTTATCCATCAATTGTCTTGCCGGAAGGAGCCCTAAACCCGGACAAATGTTGTGGATAGTTCATGCGATGCGGAGGCATCATCTTCATGTTAACTTACCAATATTGATCCGACGCGTCAACGCTCTGGAAATGCCCTTTGATTCATCCCCGGCGTGCGAATCGTTTGAGGATGCGAAGGATACATGAGTTATTGCTCAACTAGCGCATGAGCCAATGAGGGGAGGACATTTGTTGCCAAATCTATGCGTTCGTTTATGCGATGAAATCGGCTGTAATTTTCAGATAATACTTGATTGGCAAACGTTTTGCTTTCAAACTGCCGAATGAACGTTTCATAATGGTTGTCAAATAAAACAGTTTAATGAACATTTTTATTAACTTACCAAATATGTAAAACTTTAATAGCACATTAATCACAAATAATTATTTTACCTAATCCTTTTTGTAATAAAAAAAATATGAAAAACAACTTAATCCTAAGATATACAAATTATTTATAAATCTAAAAGAATTGTTCATTAAACATTATTAAATTGTCGAAAATATTATTTAATATTTTAATAAAATTATAAATGCGTTTCTAAAAATGAATAAAAAAAAACTGTTTTTCATTGATTTATACGTTTGAAGAATAATAATTTTCTCTTGTGACAAAATTTTCAATTTATTCAAAACCAATCAAATATGTATATTGGATTTTAACCCGACGCATCCACGCGGAACAAACGTATCTGATGATTTCATTGTACATGCGTTAGATTGCAAATAATACAGTTCCGAGTAAATCAATATTGAGCTTATTAATGCGATGCATTTGTTTCGTTGTAGGATTACAGGAATTATGCAAAAATTGAAATACATAGATCATCGTCCTTGCAAAATACAGAACGTACATTACGATAATTGCTTCTTCATCGAATTAACAGTAATTGAATCAAAGATCGTCCTTCGTCTTCTGCTTTTTCAGTCATCCAGATTTGAGGCTTCTGCGATAAATTAATTCGAGCAGGAGAGCTCTGTGAAACAAAAATAAATAAATTGGAATCCTTATTCGTAATTAAATTAAATTAGGACCATCGACCATCGTTGGTTGCCGGTTTTGCGGATCGTGATTCGAGCGTAAAAAAAAGAGGAATAAGAGAAAAGAAGACTAAGAGAGAGAGAGAAAAAACAGAAGTGAAGAAACTAAGAAGAAAGGGATCTGGCAGTTTCAGAGATCAATCCTCTTTTGCACTAATTGGAATTAGTTTTAATATGGAGCGTGATTTATTTCGCGGATGGGGTTGCGTAATACCGGTGGGAACATAAATTCTCGGGTTGGTGTTTAAACGGAAATCCAGTGTAAAATATTATTGGGTCGGTGAGAAAAAATGTTTGCCTTCAGCTGGGAATGTGCGGCAATACGTACGTTTGTGTGTGTTATATATATATATGTTGTGAACCTTCGTATTTCTCACTACTTCACTTTACGCCTCGCTCTCCCATGGCGTGCGTTACGTAAGGATTGGGTAAATGAGGGGGCATATTTTCGTATATTATAATCTTTGCGCGAAGGAATTTATGAAATTGCATATCTCCATCTCTGTCCGTCTGCGTGGAATTCAGTAATTGCGGCCCAAGGGTATATTTTCCGAATGGTTATTAGAAATGTTTTTGTAACTCCGTCATAGTTGGGGAAAATAGGATTCTCTCCATTTCCCCCCTCGTTCCATCCATCCACTGGTGACCTTACGTCAGCTGCCGCAGGTAGTTGGCTTTCATCGTTGAATTGCCATTGAAGCAAGTTAAGTTGATTGATGTTTCCGCCTTGGATACTTTCATTTTTACGTCGATTTTTTTTTAATTCCTATTTACTCTTTCCCTTATATGTATATATATACAGATATTATTATCAATTCACTAGTTTTCTATTTACTTGAAATGTATATTACTACAATTTCATATATGTACATATGATAAGGGTTAATCATCTGCGAGTAGCAAACCCACTGTTTGTTCCATCTCGTTGACAAAATCCATACGTCTTGAGTTTAGTATTATTACCTTTCTACATGACATATGTAGAAACGTCTTGTATATGACGAGAATGCTGTGTTTCCTGGAACAATTTCCATTTCTATTGCTCCGCCAGATATCGAAATAACCCTCCTCCGCAATTCCTAGAATGAACTCTTGTATAAATGCAAGAGATTCTCGAGGGGTACAATAAATGCATGCCTATAGAAATGTATCCTTTACCAACAACAATACACACATATCTTGAAATGCTAACAACCCGCCCACTAGAATGCAGGCTGTTAGTGTAAGTTTTCGGGTCATTTGATTCATAGCTTCATAATAACATGAATGGAAACACAGATCAAAAGAATCGGATTTACCAATTGTTGGGTCTATATTACACTATTTATTTACTGTTTACTACTGGGGTTGAGACTATATATATTATGATTCGCCCCTCAAATTTATCTTAAAATCCGAACGGCCCATCCCCTTGAGGAATTTGGGGATGTTAGCTTTTGATTGAATCATCCCACGGCCAACAGAATAATGCATTTATGCTGACACTTGATGAAGATGGTTTTAATTTGTTGCAGCGTTGGCGGTGGGGGAGGTGTAGGTGGAGTTACATAGATGTTTATGAATAAAAAGACCAATTATGAGAGACGCTAGATGAGCAGGTTTGCAATGAGAGCAGATACATCCATGCCTGGGAGGTAATTTTTCTTGTGATCTTTTGTTTTATTATTGTGCTTCTTTGTTTTGTTCTGCTGAAGTGCGTTTTGATTCGCTGGAGTGCGGTTCGAGTTTGGTGAGTGTTCCGAAGGTGAAGGAGAGCTGTATATCGGGTGCGGTTCGTTTGGCAGCTGATGGTTAATGCGTTAGTGTTAATTTTGATTGGCAGCGTGGAAGAATTTAGATTGAGTTGGGGGGACTGGGTGGAGGCGCCGGGTTTTTAGAGTGGTGGGGCGGTGAACGAAGGGTTGGAGGGGCACCATCAAGGGGGGATGTTGCTTGCGTGCGGCTCCGTGGCCCGGAGCAGCGGCAGGATCAGGAGCAGGACTACTACCCCGGGAGCGAGCGCGCGCATTTGGCCCATATTGATCCCTAGCGTCTCCTGCATCTCGTCCTCGTCCTCGAGCATCAGTGAGTCTGTGGAGCACAACAATATCACTGGTCCTGGGTGAAATATGGGCAGTGTGCTGGCGCGAGTGGTGCTTGCGGTGCGAAGCTAGTGGCAGGCTACTCTGTCTACCTGTGCTGCGGTGGGCGTGTGGGGGTCGTTCCTTGTGGTATGACGGCCAAGTCCGGAGGATTGTCCCACAAGACATGAACTGTTCCGTAACTAGCTAGGATGGTTTCGTGCGAACAAGTGCTGGCTCTTCTGGCCAAAGCCTTCGTCCTCATCACCATGCTACCGGGTAAGTCACCTCTATCTTATACACAGCTATAATGTCCCCCAGGAAGAAAATATTGTTCTTAAAAATCATCAGTATTCAACACTTTTCTCTCTCATCTCCGCTCCGCTCGGACCGCAAACCCGCTCTTCATCAATTCAACCACAATAGTTGCTATAGCAGCTTTGGAAGCGACTGTTGGTTACAATAGGAAGAAGCTCTGACCCAAATGTCGAGCGCAGAAAATGGAAAATGGGTCAATGAGTTGTTTACATTCAGTTTTACAGAGTCGCGGCGCGTCCTAAGAGGTATTAACGATTTATCGATGTACCATTGATACATTTCATCACTTATTGTTCCCTCCTTCTGCAAAGTGTAAAACTACAAAGCTGAAAGCTGGTTAGAGTAGTTTGTAGCGACGCTAAAAACAAAAGCGACATTTGGTGCGGTGCTCGCCCGTATTTCCCAATTAACCAGACTAATAACACATGTCAGTACAGTTAGGCAGAGGAGATTGCACCGCTCGCAGATAATTACGTGCCATCCCCTGCACCATCCATTCTTGATGAACCATCCGCATCAGTTATTTATTTGTTCGGCGATGTTTCATGAGCGGCCCTCATTCAACATTCAGCCGCATCGCAATCCTGCATTTATGGACCGGAATCGAATTAGACATAATGAGATCACATCGATCACATCCCACCGGCATCCAGATCCAAACGATATTCTAATTTACAATTTTCATCTCAATCTTGAACTCACTTTTTAATAACCATCAATGACGGATACATCACGTTCTGGGGATTTCTCGCTTCCAGGTTCGGAGCAGGGAGCGCACGAGAAGCGACTCCTGAAGAACCTTCTGGACGAGTACAACATTCTGGAGAGACCCGTGGCCAACGAGTCGGAACCTTTGGAAGTCAAATTCGGCCTAACTTTGCAGCAAATTATCGACGTGGTTAGTACACTACATGTCTCTATCAACTTCACCTTAATATACAATACAATTTTACAAATATTCACTCTTCAAGCAAAAATTAATTGAAAATGAAACCTATTACAAAAGATCGTCATGTTCTCTACTTACATTTTACTTTCTATAATTTTGAGTTTTCAAAAAGTATAGAGGACGGACCAACGCATATAGGTATTGATTTTTAAGTTGATCCATTGATTTATGGGGAATATATAAATATTACATATGTCGTTTTTACAATTTATGTTTATTTTTTTTTTTAATTTAATTTATTAGTATATAATATTATTTCTTGTGGGAGGATAATTTCATTTATTTTTTATTTTCGTTTGAGCGCGTGGGAAGTACTGACGTAACCTTGTGGTTTTTATTATTGTTTTCCCCCTGTCTAGGACGAAAAGAATCAGATTCTCACGACAAACGCGTGGTTGAATTTGGTAAGTGCCATGTGGTCCAGGCAGCCTTCGCAATGTTATAGCAGAGCAAACACTAAATGTTCGTAGCTTCACTTTGGAGACGAAAAAAAATATATGTTTAAAAAAAAACTTAAACTGTATATATATATATAAATTTTGTATGTGTATATATAAATAAATATATATATATGTATAATACATTTATATATACATGTATATATATATAAATATATCATTATGTAACATAAGATTTTCTTTTGGCGCTACGGTAGTGTTTGCCTCTGAGCTGTGTGGCAATGGACGTATATAGTTCTTGTGCGATAGGATGGCTCCGGCAAAAGAAAGTCCTTTTATGTCGCAGGACGAAAAAAGCTGCCTATCCATCCGATCGTTTGCACTTCGACCGAATCTCCTGGCATTCTTATCTCTCTGTTTATTGTATTCTATCCATTTTTCACACGGACCCCACATGTATATTTATTTATTTATCGAATCTATTTTTGGACTCTTTTGTGTTGTGTGACACAACTTTGTTACCTTTTACATTTTTTTTCTGTTCTTTTCTGATGTGATTCTTTCGAGATTCGGTCGTTTCGTGCGCCGTATGCATGCTTTGTCATGTGACTAACTACCGATGTTTCCCTTTTTTTATTGTTTTACCATAGGACGAGAAGAATCAACTCCTAATAACAAATATTTGGCTTTCTTTGGTAAGTGAAAACCAATTAAATAACTAAACACTTATACACACACGGCAGTTGGTTGGTTGTGATGATTCTTGATTTCTGAAACTTCTCTTTTTCAACATTACAATACCTTCTAGCTGATCGAAATTACCTGAAGTGAATGATGGTGTGCTCCTCCCGTATTGAATCAGAACCTTGTAATAATTTGTAATTCTATTTTGCTGTTGCCGTTTGTTTAATTTTGTTGGCGAAGAGTCTTTCCGTCCCAAGTTATTATTATTATTACTACTACTCTTATTATTATTATTATGATTACAAGTAAACGTATAGAACCAATCCGCGTTGCGATTTATTTTATTTTGTATGCCTCCCGTAAGGTTTGATCTTAGACTTAGACCTCAACTTTTTTCTCCATCATTATATATATAATACACATATATATATATATATATAATTAACGTATATTGATTGGAATGGCGTTCCCTAGACTCATCAAGAGTTGTACGACCCAGTTGGTATCTTTTTAAACTTTAATTGAATATTAATCAATTGCCTTTTATTTACATTTGCCTTTCGTAGAGTTAGTCTTAGCCGGTAGGTTTTAGCCCATTTTAGCCAGTCAACAAGTACAGTTTCAGACTCTCGGATCTACTCGCTCCCTTTCTTCAACTTTTTCTCAATATCTATAAGTATTTGAACATATATTTCTTTCTATTCCAGAAACACGTATTATTTATTTTCAAGCAATTCCATCTGTGTTACAAATGAATTCAGATACTCCAGTTTTTGTCGACTCTCTCTCTCTATCGATATGTGGCGTCTATACTGCCGTGTGTGTGCGAGATTTTTCTAAACTACATCACTTAACTACGCTTATTTTAACTGACGATCTACGATTTGTGAAACTACCGCCCATCCAATCCTTACGCCACCATTTTGACTTTACCTCACTTTAACAAAAAGAAACGCAAAAGCAAGAGAAAAAAAAAACTGTCCCATCCATCTACGAAATTTCGTTAGGATGTAAAGTTTAATAGCCAAGAGCACGAATTCAAAGACGAAACCGCCGACGGGAAACATACGGGAAAAACGTGCTGGGAAACTTTGCTGCTTTCGCGAACTTCGAACAAAGTATTTGCAAATCATTTTTTTACCGTTTACGTGGGAAAGCACTTGAGAAAGCGACATAAATAAAGGAAGGAAAACGTAGATAGAAAAAAAAATAAACGTGACCGAGATGAAAAACTCATTACTTATTCCGCAGACTGAGCAGAACGAAGTGAAAAAAAAATATTTGGATGATTTATGCTACTTCTGGAAAAGTTTTGGAAAAGCGAATTTGTCGCTGTCGTTTTCCAAAAAAAAAAAACAAACTAATACCAATATTTGCGTTTATATATAAATAGCTTTTTGTATTTATGTCTGAGGAATCTATCTATATTTGCAGAGCCGAGCGTTCCATTCGATAGGGCTTCATTGGAAAAGCTATTTCCTGTTTGAGTCGAATTGCGTTTATGCACTTTCCAACCCCGGATATGCAGCTTTATTCAATTTATATATAATGAAACTTCCTTGCCGAAGTGATTTCCGCAGCTCGCGAATATTTCAATTTTTCCACAATTTGCTCACCTCGTGATTGCATAAAGATCAAATATTAACCAAATCATATAGTCTCCAAATGCTCTTAACTAGATATCAAATTCCATTCCGAATTGATTAGGTAATATGAAGTTGGCACATTTCTGGAATAGTTGCTTACATCTAATACCGCTTTGTATTACGAAACCGCAAATCATATAAATTATCATTCAAAACCGCAATTTCGGATGCAGATGGAAAACGACATCAGGATTGATCTTTAATCCCATAGAAATATTGTGAATTGGTAATTCCATGGAAGTTTATTAGACTAAACTTTTAATCAAAGCAACAATATTTACGTAATATATAAAAAGTTATTTCCTTTTTTTGAACGAAATCAATTGCGCAATACAAATAAGTACGAAAAAAAATTGTGATTATTTTTGCAATTCTTTTTCCGCATGTAAATATTTAATTGCAATTTGTTTCTGAATATTGCGGTCATTTACATAAATATTCATGTCACATTTTAATTAACCAATATTTGATGATTCGTGTTTACGCGTTTGTCCCAAATGAATTTCTATTTGTTTAAGTGTTCACCGTTCAATATTAATTCATCGGTAGATAAATGCACGAAAAGGTAGATATTGTTGCGAGTTAGTCATTGTTTGCGCAACAAAAAGCTTTTCAGCAATATAAATTAATACCGTGTTCCAGAACATTCAATATGTCGCCTTTGTCTCTATATTATAGGAGATTTATGTTTTCAATCAAATCTACCATTTTCTATCTACCTTTTGTTTACCTCAAACAATACATACTTTTTGTACAAGGAGTAAGAGTATACCTAATCAATCTTACTTTTTATCTTTAGCTGTTGCGTTGATATATAATGATAAATTAAAAACAAAAAACAATAGTGGAGGTATTTAGTTGAAGTGAAATAGAGCGCAAAGGTCAAAATGGTGATACGTACTCGTACTTGATCCTTGGAATCCTTCCGCACGTTGATGCAGTAAATCCAATTATGAGCAACTATCGATCCGACAACTCCCGCATCGCCATGTGCCGACCAAAACACCGATGGTCCACAGACTAAACAAGACAATATCGTAAAAAAAGCCACACTAAACATGAAACTGTTAAAAACTAACGATCTAAATATTGAAAATAAGAAAGAGGACGTATTCGATTCCCCGTTGGCATGATATCACAGACATCATATTACCATATCATCTCGCCTTGCCGCATCCCATTTATGTGTGCATCCATTTACCAAGCGATCGGTCCAGGACAGGGTACACCTTGATGCACCTTGTTGGGTTTATCGCTCGGCAATTGGAGACGGCTTATCACAAATGCAACGCCTGTCGCATGATCTGCACGTAGGAGTTTGGAGGCCTCGAACGAGTAACACCGGATTGGGCACGTAAATGCTAAATCCTGTGCAATTCCGGACGTGCCCTCTCTATATTAAATATTTGTTTCCCCCCCTTGTTCAGTTTCATATATTCGTGATGTTCCGTATACTTTTACGTTGTAGTTTATTTAATTCAATTCACTAGATTTCCCAATTTTTTTTGCATCCGTTGTTGTAGTAGCATTTTGTGTGGTGTGTCGATATTTGGTTGTGCAACCGAAATACAATTATTGTACAAAATATGACCCACAGTGCAAAGGATCCCCTTTTGGGGAAACTACAATACAATGCATTTCTGTTTAGGAATGGAACGATTACAATCTCCGATGGAACGAGTCTGAATATGGGGGAGTCAAAGATTTGCGTATAACTCCGAATAAACTATGGAAACCCGACGTGCTGATGTATAACAGGTAACAAGTTTAGTGCCATGTCTGCCCTGTGTTCCCAAATAGAACCGGTAAATGTCTATACTAATATCATGTACTACTAACAAATAATCCGCTTTTGCGATTACAAGGCTAACAATTAAGCAAAAAAAAAAAAAATTGAAGAGAAGAAATATTTGAAAACGATAAGTCAACATAATAACTATAGTGGTTTTTATATTATTTTCTTCTATTTGCATGCACTTTGTTTCTCGTAGAATCCGGGTTCATTTACTTAAATCTTTGATACATTTTTTTTTTGTGAGTTCATGTAAATTCTTTGGTTTAGTCTAGGTAATGATGGATCGTTCGCAATTCGTTTAAGCTCAATTGCGGATGATCCTCTTAAAGTTGTTATTTTATATTATTTCTGTTCGTTTCAATATGTCATATATATATATATTATATTAATTTTTGGAAATTATTTGTTTCGAGTCTTTTGATATTGTTTAATTTTATTTTGTATAACTTTGAGCACCTTGAGACGTTCCTCTCTGCGGATTCTGAATATCGAATGCAATCAGTCCGAGGATCGCAGAAAGGAACGTAGTTTGATAGACGATCAGATCAGTCGCGGATTGGATGTACTCAGTTGCGGCTCGGATAGCCGCCCTCTTTCCCAGCAGAACAGCTCTCTTCGTTGTCTGATTGACTTCAGACAACGAAGTCACCGGCCGAAGAGTATGCACGCCAGTGTGTATGTTGCGAAAGTTGGGTGGGAAGTACATAGACAGCTAGCCGTTGCTGTGGACCACAGCTACTTCCGGCCTTCCGGAGTCGAATGCCGGATTGATACCGGATGTCGTAAACCGCGACTGTTGATTTGAACTAGTCCTGCCTTCCAATGGTAGCAGTCCCAAGCTTCGACTCCCGCTGGGCCGGAAATGTCCCCGAAAACTCTCTTTATAACAGCACTGACACTAACTAATAAAAAAAATAAAAGTATAAATGAAATAACTAAACAAATATCATTTAATATATATTGCAGATAAATAAAGAAAAGGTCGGTCGAATAAACTTAAACTATGATATAAACGGCTTACGCCAACATAAACAAGAACGGGTGTAAACAAGAACAAACTTATTCAAACGAAAAACAAACAAACAAAAAAAAAATGCAAGGCTGTACTTAAAAATTGGATGCGAAAATAGCTTGGTCACTGCAAACGTGCTCTACAAACATCCTCAAGGAGTTAGCCCCACAAAAATACCGTTGCGACCTGCTGAAAAGTCTGACAAAAATCTCTTGGATCAGAATTCCTGCTGACTGAGTATACATAGCCTCTATAGCTGTTACCTGTTGTACTGAACGTCAGTGTTGCGATGCAGTGGATGATTGTTGCATGCCAAAGAACGCGCGCGCTTCAATCCTGTTGTACACATACACCAAAAAAAAAAGAATGCAAAAATTAAAAAATTAAGTAAAAGCAAAGCTATTTAAAAGTAAAGCAAAGTCTGACAGTCCGAATCAAGGTGTAAGTTTTTTCATCGCCGATTTTAACAATTTGTGTTGTTATGAAGTGCTGATGAGGGTTTCGACGGGACTTTCCAAACAAACGTTGTGGTCAAACATAACGGCAGCTGCTTGTACGTCCCTCCGGGTATCTTCAAGAGCACATGCAAGATAGACATTACGTGGTTCCCCTTTGATGACCAACACTGTGACATGAAGTTTGGTAGCTGGACCTATGACGGCAACCAGGTATTGCTGCAATGCTACATGTTTTTTTTATACTATTTGTGCCATTTGTGCCTAGACTTAATGATTACATAGCACCCGGTACAGAAATTTCTTTCACTGAATTTTCTCTCAAAATATACCACACCACTAAAACACTAAACCCACAAATATACATATATATTTATATGTATATAATACATATATAAATATATATTATAATTAACAAAATTACATAATTACACAATTAGCACTCTGTTCTCAACTTATTTTTCTTTCGTTCAAATTCGGGTTTCTTTAGCCATCTTCTATCCGATACGACACACGATTATTAATTTAAGAAAAACACACATCAAGTCAAGAATCAGTTCGTTTAAAGAGGCCACACATGCACGTCAAATGTTAGCTATTTAGATTGACTATGTTACGTGTTTAGATATTAGAGAAAATAGGGTCCCAAAAAACTAAAAAAATAATAATAATAATATTAAAAATCAAATTACTTTGACTAATGTTTTATTATGATTATGATTGTTATTGTTGTTTTCGAGCGAAACAGAGAGAGAAAGAGAGAGCGAGAGAGATAAAAGAAAAAATAAATATGAAGAAGACGAAGAAGAGAGAGAGAGAGAGAAAAAAAACATGAAATAAAATATGAAATTAATTATCTTCAACGCCACAGCATATATCAGTCACGAGGGAACCATGTGACTGTATCGCAATAGATTTTGCTATTTTGCATGGAGCACCAATGCACTTAATTCCTCTGCTAGTAACTTTGCTCCTAAACAACCAAGAACAAGGCCATCATAATAACCCCTACGGCGAATTCCACCCCTTCGAAGTTCCTAGCAGAGGGATTAAAGAGAATATTCGCTTCTTGGCAGGGATGCAATAATGACACTAAGAATTATATCTACTCTAAGTATAATACATCATCTAATGGTATAGTCCGCCTATATGCAGCAGTCCCATTATTCTAGACTCGTTAAACATTCATGCGATCGATAATGCTTCCTGCACCGAATCAAACTTTTCGGAATTCCCGTAGCGCCCCTAAAATTCTTCGGATTATTAATATAAACAGCGATGTTAATATGCGATTAGCTGCAATCCATTCTCGTTATTCAGTAGCGACTCGGAAATAGGTGCACGGCCCCGTTTCCGGGACAACCCTCCCACGCGTACGCCTTCAATATTTCAGAGTTCAGCCTGAGCATAACAAACGTGGCGCTTTGGAAAAAAAAAATAACGTGCACACCGAATTGCGAGAGAGGATTAGGAGAAAATGTACGAAGGAATGAATGAATGAAAGCTAAAAGAGGAAACGACGTTAACGTTCTACTACATTTTTTAACAGCCTTCGCTGTTTAAATATTTATTAAAGCAAGCTCATGAATATTAATTAATTAGAAGCCATCAATGAAATGCCTGCCGTCTTTAGAAAAAAACGTTTTCATATACTACACGCACGAAGGATTTTATGTCAGTTAATTAGAGTTATTATACAATAATTTCATTTCAAGATTGAATTATTTAAGTGAATAGATCTTTAACGTTTTTTTTTTTCTTCATCTTCTGTGTATATCGTTTCTGTGCGTTTGTATGTGAGTGGATGTGCAAGTTATTTTTTTTTTGAGCGAAACAGTTTTCTGAAAGCTCTCGTTATGTAATATAATATTTTCTAAGTACTTATATTTTGCTCGCATAGAGTACAGACAGGTGTTTTTTCTTGGGTATTTTAATCCGCTTAATTTTATTCCAGGCATGCGTTTAGGATTTAATCTACTTAAAGGGATTTAGGCTATTTCATTCGTAACTTGTATATATTATATACATATATACACGCTTATGAGAGCATCAATAAGTATAGATGTGCGTATGTACGTGTATATACTCATATGAGATAATTCTCTAAGTCTATATTAATACGAAATCCTGCTTTTTGCTCATGCTTGAACCGATTTATTAATTAATACTATTATTACTACTATTACTAATATTGTTTGTTTCTTTATCGTTTTTTGGAGATGGCCCATACTCATGATCCAGTGTGTCGTATCTTAACTTAATTTTCTATTCGATTTAGTGTTTAGTAGGTGTTGTTTGCATGCAAAGCGTCATGAATGCCAGGCACGAATTACATGTCAAAGTTTTGTGCAGCTGGACCTGGTGTTGAATTCGGAAAACGGCGGAGACCTTTCGGATTTCATAACGAACGGTGAATGGTATTTAATAGGTGAGGATCATTTGCGGTTGCATTTCTTTAGGTGTTGTCGTCTAAATCTATTACTGAAGAGCATTTGCTGAACGTGATCTGGTGTGTCTTTGTGTTCTTTTGCGCAGGAATGCCCGGAAAGAAGAACACTATCGTATACCAGTGCTGCCCGGAACCGTACGTCGACGTCACCTTCACCATCCAGATCCGCAGAAGAACGTTATACTATTTCTTCAATCTCATAGTTCCTTGCGTGCTGATCTCCTCCATGGCACTACTGGGCTTCACATTACCTCCGGATTCTGGAGAGAAGCTCACCCTAGGTATATGATTGATCTGTATAACATTGATATGTATATTATTATTATATATTGCTGACTCGTGTAAATCCTTTACGCACGTTAAGTGTATTCATCATACAATATTCCTCTCAACAGACACTGATCATGCTGGACATTCAACACACAATATTACTCTCTTACTTCTACTTCCGTTTTTTTATTTGATTGTCACCACAGTACACTGGATCGTGGGATTCCGTTTTTGCATTGCATTTAAGACGCGCGTCTGTGGTTCAAAGTGGCAAATCTTATTTCAGGTGTCACCATACTACTTTCATTGACTGTATTTCTCAACCTAGTAGCTGAAAAGATACCAACCACGTCTGATGCAGTTCCTTTGATAGGTATGATAGGAGGTGGTCGGGGAGCATCGTGTGTTTTGACGCCCTGTGTCCCTTAACGGACTGCCCGTTGATACTTGGAGGGCGTCATCGAATGATAAGATCCTCGCCTGTTCCCCTTCTCCTGCCTGCGCATATCTTATTGTTGATGTTGTTGTTGATGTTGTTGCTGTATTGACTTTTTGTTCTCGTATCCCCTACACATACATATATATGCATACATATTGCAACTTTATCTATTATATAACATTTTTTTTTTTTAAATATTTATCCATATATATGTATATGAGAGTTAGCACCCCGGTTTTGAAGCACTATCCAGTAATGATACAAATAATACATAATACATATTTAGATTTGCAAATGGTAAGTAGCATAGTGATGCGGGAAACTCCTCATGGGCAGATCGAATACTATTATTATTTATTTTTTTACTATTATTATAATTTCTGTTCTTTTACGTTCTACTCCGTTAATCCAGTCCAGGTCCAGTCCAGATTCGAGGCCGAAGCTGTATTCAAGCTGTGTTCTGTTGCAGGAGTGACCATCTTGCTCTCGTTGACTGTGTTCCTGAACCTCGTGGCAGAAACCTTGCCCCAAGTATCTGACGCCATTCCTCTGTTAGGTACCAATCGTTCTTTGTCTGACCTGCCTGTGCTGACTACATCCTCAGTGCTGCCTGATATGAAATATGTGTATATCATTGTGTATATGTGATTGTTGTGTTCGCGCGCGTTTTCTTTTTCTTTTTTACCTTGTTTGTATTTTCACTTTTGTTCTATGATTTCGTTTATTATATCTTAACTGTTCTCCTAACTGACTAAGCTTCAACTAGTCACAACTATCTGTTTATCTGTTTGAAATTTTAGTTCTCTCTGTTATAATTTACTTTATGTTCGTATCTTGCTATATAACAATTATTTAATGGTTATATAAATAGTTTTCTGGTTATGTTTATGTCTATTCGTTGTGTTTATTTTAAATTTATTACTTTTATTATTATTATTATTATTATTTTCTGTTACGATCAAAGAAGAAATGTTAAAGGCCATTATTGATTGGTTCTTGCCTTTAAAATGCAATAGTCACAATACGCCACGATGGTCGTGATTGCCCCCGGCTGGGTGGAGTGCTGTTCGCGGGTCCGGATTACGCAATTTCTCCCTGCTTATTTTTATATATTTGTATACTTTAATTTTCATTTTTTATGAATTTCGAACACTTTCGTTCATCATCACACTACCTTTTCTCTACCATTTTTTACCATTTATGCTCTCTTTCTCTATGAGTTTAACTTTATCTATCGCTCTCTTTACCACACATACACACACACGTTCCACGAGCCGCAAACATTTCCTCTTTGATTCGTAGCGGGACGAGCCGGATACTTGGATGGTAAAGTTTACAGCAGTAATAAGGATTATTACTTAATTTTTAGTTAGTTCTATTTTTTTTTTCCACTCTCAATCAATTTCTCTTATTGCTTACATTAATCTGTATGTTGTTGTTGTTTTGATTTCGTTTCATTTTGTTTTGTTTTCCTCTACCTGTCCGTATATTATTTTCTTTATTTATTTAATTATGTTGTTTTATATTTAGTTGTTGATGTTGTTGTTCAAGAAGGGAAGGCAGCAAGCGCGAGTTGAGGTGGCCTCGTACCTTGGACAAAGTTCGGGCATCATTTGTCAACTATCTTTTTCTCTCTCTCTCTCTCTCTATATATATATATATTATTATTTTTGTTATTTCTTTTAATACCTTTGATTTTCTTACTTTGCTGAAGCAAAACCGTAGCCGGTCACAGGTCAGACGCGTGACGCAATGTCTGTTGCAGGTGTTACAATCCTGCTGTCGCAGACTGTATTCTCCTTGCTGGTGGCTCACGTGATTACCCAGACCTCCGACGCTGTGCCTTTGATAGGTAGTTTCTCGGAATATAATAATTAACTTACTATTAATGCCAAAGATTTAGTTGAAAGCGAGTTCTCTTTTTTCTCTGAGCAAATAGGAACACAAAACTAAGACAAAACCTCAGACCTGAAACTAAGATTTACTAACCTAAGTGCACGACATTTCTGCGGAAACAAAAACAAACAAACAAACAATTAAAAAAAATCATACACTAGTAATGTTAATAATTGAAATTACCTGAAAATATAAAGAAAAATTATTTATTTATTTATTTATTTCATTCACTCACGATAACTACTTATTGTTATGATCGTTTTTTTGTTTTGTTTTTGTTGTTCGTCTCTATAACAGCACTTCGCCCATCCACAGCCACACGACTATACTATTAGAGTTATATCAAAATCTGTAAATACAACGTTTACAAAGTGTGATTAATTCTGACCGACTAAGACAGACGGGCGCGATGCAGATTATTTTCAGCAAATCATCTGCACACGCTCTTTCGTGCTTCTTTCTCTCTTTTACTTGCGATTAGATGGGTACTGCGACCGAGGTTTAAAGTAACTAAAATCTATATAAAAGAAACAATCTGATCCAAAAACACTACCGGAACTGTGACTTATCAACGCTGTGAACATGCTGCTACCACCATGTTCCAAGTTCCATCCCAACCACCCTCCCACATCCCTACAGCTGATCCGCAATCGAAAATTCATTCCGCTTCTCTGTATAGATTATATATACATTATTATTTTGTTTCATTTTTGTTTTTGTTTGGAACACTCTCTGGATTCTCCTGCTGCTGCTGCTGCTGCTGCGGTCGTATAGTTAAATACTATTTCTGGACGGGCAACTAACTTATTTACTAACAAACAAACAGACAAACAATTCACAATAAACTTACTGCTCAATATCTCTGATAGTGGTGCCAGTGCTCAAGTGCAAGTGCCAGTGCGAGTGCTGCCGGCTTCTGGCAGCGCTTCTGCCAGAGCCGAATTGGACTTGGAGGACTGGCAACAGCCCGAGCACTCGTCCGCCGCCGACTCACTCTTGTATGCCAATTTGACCTTCTCACCTCCAAGTATCAAATGGCTCTGTCCCACTAGGAGTATCTAATCTGTATGTTTTTGTTGTTGACATTTTTTTTTCTTTCTATTTACATATTTTAACTGTTCGTACTTTTATTTTTATTTTTTTGGATAACAAAGAAACAGAAAAAAAACAACCACCGACCCCCGATACCTTCGCCCTTCTTTATCAACATAATCTGTTTTGTTTACTGAGTACTCGTTACCTCCTCTTAAATTCATCAGCCAAAGCAACTAATTAATTTAACAGAAATCTTCCGCAACGCGAGGCTCTTTCAACGCGATTCAACCACTTAAGTTTATTATATTTAACACAACCGATCATTTTACAGAGACCAATCCACAACTCCCCAACTGCAAGTACACATTATTTTCAAAAATAATCAGATTTAGCGGTGAGCAAATATTTATATACTAAATTTGAAAATTATTAAAAATCAAATTAGTTTTTACCATCATCTTTAAGACTATAAATGATAACTATCAAAATTTAGGTGACTGCATCAAGTATGTAAAAAGAGTGGATTTCATTGAAACAGCCTCGCGTATGTGGGAGATGGAAAAAAAAAACCATGACCATAACTAAACAAATATTCTAAACTAGTGACCTAGACTAAATGAACACGAAAAAAAAAATAAGAAAGAATGTTATAGAAGACAAATTAAAACTAAAATCTGAAACGGTGTAATCTATGATTTGTGATTAAAATGGTGATTTTATGGTGCATAGAATGACTGTGGCGGCCGTGTGGTGATGACCGCCAGTCGGGCCATCGTGATCACGTCGGTGGTGGTAAAAGTACCCAGTCCCAGATTGGGATGGCGATTGGCGGATTGGCGATGATAGAATGCGCCCCACGGCAACCACGCCAGGTAATGAAATGCACAGTCTTAAGCCAGACATAAACAAGCATCTTTAAAAAAAAAAATACAAACAATGTATAACGATAATGAAGATAAACAACCAAAAAGAAACAAAAAGAAAACAACATATTTTCTAATAATTATTAAAAGAAGAGAAGAAGTTTAAAGAAAAAAAAAAAAGATAAATTAAGGAACAAACAAACAAAATGTACCAAAACGATTATTTAATTTCTTCCGTTTTACCTTTACTTTACGTTTGTTAATTACTTACTTTTTTACATTACTTTATCATTTGTTTTTCGATTAATTTTTTGCTCAATATGTGCGTGCACTTTAAACGTATAATACAAAATAATACAACCTTATTTGTTACTATTATTATTAATGTTTGCTAAATAGTGTTTCGTTGTTTTTTCTTTTCTTTCTTTCTGACCAAAATAAAATTAAAAAAAATAAAAAGAACAATCATACAACTAATTTCAAGGAAATACATATGTCAAAAAAGAAACATATGATCAAACAAACAAACAATCAATTAATCATATAAAGACTGAAAGGCAATCAAGTTCACTTTGATATATATATCTTTTTTTGGTTTCTGCTTTTTGCCTGTCCTTCTGGTTCTATTATTTCTATAGCTTTCATCCCATCTGAAACCCGACTACTAAACCAACTAAAATGAAAATGACAACCGGATAATTAAATACCAACTTGTTTAACTTGACGAGCGCGTTAACAAAAGGGCGCGGCAGCGTTGCGGACCTGGAATTGAATTATTGTTTACTACTTGTTGATGTTGTTGTTGTTGTTGTTGTTGTTATTGTGTTAATGTTGTTATTTGTTGGAAGCATTGACCTGTTACTGTTGTTACTGGTACATATCGTTTCTTAATTTTATTGTTTTCTTGTTATTTACTGTGGAACACCGATTTTCGTTTCGTTTCCATTTTCTTTTATTTTTGTTTACTTTCTGTTTGCGGTTCACAACTCTGCCGCGCCGTGAACACCTCGGCCGATCTTTAAAGCCCTTTTTGTTTCGATATTTCTTGAGGAGGGTACGATCGTAGTTCATGACACATTAGAAATGAAAACCCTGACGTTTGGAATGTTCGTGTGTGTGTGTTTGTAGCATTTTGATTTGATTCCCATTGTGTGTGTATCTCTACTACAACTACTACTACTACTTCTTCACCACTGTAACGTAATGTACCTTTATTTTACTTTTACTTTTCATTTTTATCTTTGTTTCATTTTGGACTTGATTCTAATGTGTTTTCTGTATTTTTCTTTTTTCTCGTTTTTCCTTTATTTTTCTATGTTAAGGCGATGGTGTGTGTTTGCAATGTAGTGATTCCAAACTGAAGATGGTGTGTTTGTGCTTGGCGTAACGACTGTACATACTTTTATTTTTGGATACTTATCAACTAAACTATTTAGTTTTACCTCATTTTACTTTTCAAATCCATTTTGACGTAAATATTTATTTATTCTTTTAATTAAACATTTTGGTAGTTGCTATTGTACATACCCTTTAAAACTAAAAGTTGAGTAGTTTTCGATTATTATTATTTTGTTTTTTTATGGAAGGCAAGTAGAGGCGCGGATGGTAATTTAACGGCTGTTACAGGCACTTACTTCAACTGCATTATGTTCATGGTAGCATCATCTGTGGTGCTAACTGTAGTTGTACTGAACTACCACCATCGAACGGCGGACATCCATGAAATGCCGCAATGGGTAAGTCCGAAACATTATATTTACATAACGCACATTTCATAGTTAAATAATTCAGCAAATACTTCAAACAATAACCCTTTGTGTTTTCTTAATTATGTCACTTTCATAATAAAGCAAGTCTAGCGTGTAAGAAAATTAGTTAAAGAAATTGTTAGGGCTGTGGTATATTAATTAGAGTTTGGCATGAAAGAAACCCCGCAGAAGAAAGACTTTAAATTAGTTTCCATTAACTTATTAAAAATAGGAAATAAAGTTCTGCTCGGGAAATGAATTCTTTACAGGCACTTTTTTTTTTTCACGTGAAAAACTTTTACGTAATATACGTTAATTAAATCAATGTCAAGAGAGTTAATAGGATTTTAATTCAGTCCACTTTCGATCTCAATGGAGACCTTCTTGTTTTTCTATCTTCTTTTATTTTACTTTTATGAACTTCGAACGTAACTGCGTTCCGCACTTTTACTTTTTTCAACATTAAATTCCGTTCGAAAAGTTTTCAAGAATTCCCTCAGGTTTTTTCTCTGCCGCCCCATGTTTTTCTCGGCGAGTTTTCATTTTGTTTGCTCACAACACAACTTACATATCGAGTTTCCAACGAAAACTTTCTTTCGTTTACTGTATTTTTCTTATTTCTCGTCCTTTTTCATCCTCCTATTTCTTATCCTTCCTTCCTCGCAATTGCTTTCAATACCTTTCAAATTTACATTGACGAATCGAATTTCCTTCCATCGTGGATTACACGAACTTTTCGCATTTCCCGAGTTCATTAGTCTATCTATCTGCGTTCGGATAATCGTTTACTCTTCAAACGCGATTAATCATCTTTCCAGCTGGAAACTCTTTAATCCGTCACTAATCAAAACTCATCTTACGTAACTTGCAGCGCGCGCGGAAGTAATCACCACGGATTAGGCATAATTCCCAGCCTCCGGATTGGGGTTTAGTTACAACCGGGTGTTACGTGCACACTCTACAACGTAGCCGATGACGCATGCATACACGGCACGGCGTATATAATGCGTGATTAATTGAAAACCGGATCAATCGTGGCTTTTGTCCATCTGATCATTGATTATTCCCGCTAGCTCGCTTTTCATTAACAGGTGATTTTTGAATGGAACCCAATCTCATTGAACTATGTTACGCAAATTACAGTCCGTCCTCGTCGAGTTGACCACCCCACACCCTAACTCCCTTTGTGTAATTAATATAATATTAGCCCTAACAATGAATGCGTAATCCGAATGCAGTGCCATTGAATTTGATTAATTCAATGTATTTTGTATTTCACTGACCAGTGTTGCTGAATTATTTCTAATGAATACTGTTGCCGTTGGCTGGATGGGTCACTTTACAAATTATACTTAGAATTCGTGCAATCCAATTTCATTCAATTATCACTTCTCATTATGGAGACCACAAACAGAAATAAATTGAACCATTCATTAGAGTCTCCGGATAATTTAAACTATCACCACGTTATATACATGTCGTGTTTATCATTAGTACATTTGAGTAATGATTTTTTTATATTATAAATAATTGAACTATTGTATAATTCTCAACTTGTATGGTGATTCTTTTCATTGAGTATTTCATGTATGTAAAGGTAGCGGATTCAAACGTAGACATTTTTATAGATAAAAACTGTGTTCCTGCAATGGTTGCCGTGGATATTGGGGATGGGTCGTCCCGGCAAGAAGATAACACGCAAAACGATCCTGATGAACAGCAGGATGAAGGAGCTTGAACTCAAGGAGCGATCGTCAAAGAGTCTTTTGGCGAACGTCCTGGACATCGACGACGACTTCCGGAACGTTTCGGCGGGTGGGAACAACGCATCCATGACTACTAGCTTAGGCGGCGGATTCATGCGACATCCTACTACTATCGAGGAAGCTGCGATGCCTTCATCCGGCACCCAAAGAGACCTGCAACATATACTGCGTGAACTGCAGTTCATCACGAACCACATGAAGAAAGCGGACGAAGAGGCCGAAGTAATAAGTGACTGGAAATTCGCTGCCATGGTAGTGGACAGGTTCTGCCTCATCATATTCACCATGTTCACAATCATAGCAACGGTAGCAGTCCTCCTCTCGGCACCTCACATCATCGTCCAGTAGGGACGAACCTGCAACACTGCAGATTCAATACTATTTTATAGTAACGTAATTAACCGCTAGATAGACTATATATATATATATAATATATATATATCTATATATAAAGATAATATACATATATAATATATTGATATATATATATGAACGTTTACTGTGATACAAAAGCAGCGTATCGTGTCGGCACAGCAGTAATTGTGCCTTCCAAACGGAACATTCACGAGCTGTTGCAAACAACTAAAAGGCAGGCATGTGCTAGAAATCGCTCCAACTGCTGCGTGTACTGCAGACGATGTATACTAGTAGTGGACTAACCTTGGATGAAGATGAGGATGAAGAAGAAGAAGAAGTCAACATCTGCAAGTCAAGATCGTCAACGATGAAGTCTACGACAGTACCAAAGAAGAGAAGATACGTTCAATCACTAAAGATAACTCCACTCTAGACATCGTACGTTACTTAGTCAGATAATAACCATGTAATCTATTAAGATATATAAGAATGATGAGCCCTTCCATCGCCGTTGCAATGTGTTGAACCCCTCCAGGATTAACAGCCCTAACGTAGCAACAATGAGAAACGATTCCCTGAGGGACGGGTAAGTGTCGCCATCAGATGGTACGGCCGAGTCATCTGCCGTGCCATGCACCCCCGTCCTTTTGGGTCAGGACCTCTCATTGATCCCATCGTGGGGCCATTCCGGATGGGTCCAATGCGTGCTCTGACTTCGAAGGGCTTCGTCACACATAGATGATTAAAGTACTCTTAGTTCGAGGTACACACGTGTCTGCCTTTTGTTCGCCCATTGATACAAACATAAGTTAAAAGTGTCCATACACTACATTAAATAAAAAAAATCTATGAATTATGAACAGAAAAAAAAAATAATTGTGATGAACTTCGCAAGTTAATTAATAAAATTAATCTTTAAAAAGAAAACTATCAGTTATAGATTTTAAATAGAATGTATTATAAAAGAGAGAAATAATTAAAAATAAAAGATGAAGAAGGAGAAAAAAAAACGATATGATACGAGAGAAAGATTAAATCGAAGCGGATAATATTTGAAAAAGAAACGTAAACGGCGCAAGTTTTTTACGGCAAAATGGAACGGAGAAGTCGGCGGCGCGGCTACCGTTGTTACACAACCCAATAATTAAAAAAAAAATTAAATTATATATGTATATGAAAGATGACAAATTTTGTATATTATATAACACACCTAGTTTGCTCAGGTTGCGCCGCCGTCCTCGTCCTCGTCCTTCACGGCACCCCGTGCGTGGCTTACAAATGCATACAAGTGATCACAAAAGCCTTTCGAACTAAACGCTGTGTTTGCAAGGTGTCAGCAACTCCTGACACCTTTCAATCGGTGCCCAAAACGATGAGGACTTCTAAAGTATAGAGGAAAAAAAAGGACATGCTATATATATATATATGTACGTACACAAGTATACGGGTGTGTATGTAGATATATGATAAAGAAGTAATAATTTAAAAAAAGGAACAATTAGTAATATTAATAATATACATTGTGAAATGGTCGTCGTCTTCCTAACTATTATTCATTTTATATAAGGTTTTACGATTTTACGACAAGCGGATATGTCATTGTTTAGTGTTATTAACTAATTGAAACGCGTATTCGATGATGATTATGATGATGATGCACGATGCCAAAAGCCACGCACGCGGCGCTCGCGTTTTATATCATATACCATTTTTAATATCATATTTAATAAATAATAAAAAAAAAAGAAGAACTTCGAATTTTTCATTCTACGCAAAAGAAAAGAATTTCTACACCACGTAAGCGGGACGCGTCGCATAACCCGAGATTTTTAAAAACCAAACAAAAAAAAAATAATCTAATTATTATTATGTACTATACGGAATTATATATAAAAAAAAGAAGAAGATGAAACTATATAAATAAATTTAAATAAAGAAAAGGTTAATGAATCGGGTAAAAATATATGTCGGCGTGGAATTAAAAAAAGGGTGGTAAATAAATGAAGAATGAAAAAAAAAGAAAGATATAATTAACAATAGCATTTAATACGATTTTAATAAAAAAAAATGAATAAAATAAAAAAATGAATATGAAAATTTTGAAACGAAAAAAAAATATGAAAACAAGTTATATATGTATGAAAACGAAACGAAAATAATAATATGTATGTTAACAAAAAAAACAACAACAACAAACAAGACAGACATGTTTCTTTGGGCATTTTACAAGAGAATTATATAAGTGCAGGTAGTCTCGATCCTCGTGTTGGTTTTCCGAGCGGACCTGTAATCCTCGATTCGCAGGAATCGACTATTACAGGATCCGCTCCTGCTGCCGACGTCCTTTCAGCGGAAAGCTGAAAATCCGTCGTGTATCCGGCAAACGACACCACCAATGTTTTATATATATCGTAGCGCAGGAATGAACAGATATAATTGAAAGAGCATCACATAATTATATAAATATACAAACAAAACAAACAAAAAAAACACACATAAAAGCGAAAAAAAATACAAGTAATGTTAAGTATTGAAGGATGTATATTGTTTAACCACTTTATAGATCCGTTATTCGCAACACAGAATGAAATAAATCATAAAATATATTATATATATATATACATATATATACATACAAAGAATGACGAAAAAAAAACAGACACACTAAGCATGAGAGTGAGAAAATGTTTCCGAATAAGTTACGTAAACCATATAAATATATTGAAGAAAAAAACACACGTACCTCTGACTTATTACTTACTAATTTATAATTATGTGAAACACAAATATGACTAGACTTCTCCATGTTGTTATTATAATTGATTTCGTTTCCGGAACGAATGATCGCATGAATCTGAAAGAGCGAGTGGGTAGTTTTTAGCATCCGCAATTGTCCAAGAAAAAAAGAATGTGAAAAAAAAACGTACATAGATTTAGTAATTGCAGAAAAATGTGTAGCCGAAAAAATATTTAGACAAAAAAAAATGAAACTATATAAATAAAAATATATACTAGGATGTAATGTTCTCCCCTCGTCCTGCTTCCTTAAGTTAATACAAGTTTTAATCTATTGTACAAGATATTGCGCTCAATCTCTTCAAATGAAATGAACTCTACAAAACTATATAAATATATATATATATAAAAAAATCTAATATAATATTATAACGTTGTTCGTTTGCTATGTTATATTCTTAAGTTCAGTTGATGCTGGTATAAATAGATGAATTATGTGAATAAATGTAAGTCGTATGGTTGAAAACAATAAATGCAGAGATTCAGTTCTATCATAATACACACAAAAATCAACGTCTGTTCTGAATTTCGTAAGATCCGTCGTATCATCGAGGTAAGTACAGTTTCATTATTAACCTTCTATTAAAGACGTAACAGTATTTTTAATAAATGATGGTTTTTGAGAAAAACACCACAAATCAATGGCTCTAAAACTATCTGAAAATTTGATTTTGATTTAAATACTTGATGATGATATATAACAAATAGAAGTAATACAGATAAAACATGTTATAATTAATTTAATACACAAATAAGCATTTATTCACGATAATTTTGCACAACCCACATTCATTAAGTTGCTGCTGCTGTTGATACTGTGGCTGTTGTTTTTGTTGCTGATATTGTGGTGGAGGTGGTTGTTGCACAACAAGAACCCTATTGTTTATACAAAATCAGTATTAAAATCATTCAATGCATACCTGGTAATGTTGAGGATTAACACCTTGCACTACAAAAATCAACTACATCAGAACTACTTAGTAGAAAACCATCAACTGTAAAAAATAAACCACATTTTGGTCTAAAACAAATCTTCTTGAAACTGCGTTTATTAAGAAAATCTTATTCACTATTTTCCAATTTATATAGCTCGTAGCAGGCAACAGCACGAAGATGCCAATAGGTTCGTTGGAAATGTTAGGTACTCAGCTTTCAATTATCATGTAATGGGGTTGTCGAGAAATTCACGAAAAACTGAACAAAAAGTATTTTCTCTGTTACGTAACAAACATTACGGAACTTTTGTTTCACAAAAAGTTGCGTACATCTTACGCAACCATGCAACAAAAGTTTATTGGTTTTCGAGTTATTAAAGAAAAAACTCTTTATTTTTTCATTAAAGAGCGATTTTTAAGTAAATCCTATTCACTTCTTTACCAATTTCTACAGCTCGTAGCAGGCGACTCTACGAAGATGCCAATAGTTTCGTTGGGAAGGTGAGATATTCAGCTTTAAATTGAATTGAGAATTAAATTAAAATTCTTAATTTTGATGTACTGGCCAAACCACAATGCCGGCGATTAGCTCATTGGAAAGGTTGTAATTTTCTCTATAATTTGTGTATTCGATGGATTAATTGAAAAAAATAGTTAAATACATGGTTATATTAATATATATCATAAAATTTTAATTTACTCTTTTAAAGAAGAATTCTTTCGTTTTCGTTTGATATAAAATACGTTAGGTTTGGTCAATTAATAAGAAAGTTATTAAGCTTTTATGCAAATCAAAACCCAAAAATGATTCTCGAAAATGCCAGAAAATTGGGATTTGCACTAGGAGACTAAGAGTAGTGAGGAGATATCTGAGCTCCTAGTATCGGTCATTCCTGATTGGTTGAAATTTGAAATTTTGAAATTTACGTTTGGTGAGTGAGCAAACTGTTATTGTTACTGTCGCAAGTTAAATTTAAAGGTATTTATTGGATTTCCTGTTTATTCTACATTGTTCTGAATGCAAACTCAATGAACCACATGTTCCATTGCTTTCTTCTTCTATTTCCTTGTATGGAAAACCTTTCTCTGAACTTCACAGTTCACTTCAGGTAAATACTAGTGGAATATGTCAACAACCATCAATCACTAAAGTTATTTGTCTTCAGAAAACATACAACAGAAACTGCAGCTAACTAGGGAAATTCTTAAAATCTTTTACATAAAACATTAACTTTATATAAGAATGTGCATTAATTGTTAATAGTCATAACGTAAGTAGTCAAGAATCATCAGTACAATTATTATTATTTTAGGTGGAACTGATCGCAACATGCCTCTAATATATAGTTGATGACCTTAAGTTCTCCAGAAAGTGGAAAGCATTCTTTACTAACAGTTTTCATATGCAAATACTGGAAATGTTAACTACTGAATGTAACCAAAAATATTAGTCCAAAACTCTTCTGAGAGTTGGTGTATACGAAAATACAGTCCATTTTTGAAAACGTTATTTTCCAAACTATCTAATACCCAAGTTTGATAATTAATTGTGACGAAGCTATCGTAGCTACAATCCTGTATCTATACTCATTTTAGTCTCTCTATATTCTAGATCAACATTGATGTTCAAAACTCTTCGGAGAGTTGGTGTATACGAAAATACACACCATTTTCGAAAACGTTATTTTCGAATCTATCTAATACCAAAGTTTGATAATTAATTCTGACCCAGCTATGGTAGCTACAAGCCTGTATTTATACTCATTTTAATCTCTGTATATTTATGATCAATATTAATATACAAATTTCTTCATAGAGTTGGTGTATACGAAAATACAGGCCATTATTTAAGACTTTGTTTTCCCAGTTGTTCCTGAAAGTTTATATGTATGTTTGGTTGCAGACTGTTTCCTGAATATTCCAAAAGATGTCTCTGCTTGTGTAAATTAAAACGCATAAAACTCGAAAAGTAATTAGCATTTAAATTATTTTACTGAAGTAATTACATAAGATTTATTCAAGCATTATTCTGATATGATTGTTTATTAAAATTAGAACGTTTTTAAGGAAGTGGATTTTGTACAGCGCCAAAATGCCTGAACTACAACCTTTGAAACATTGCTAACAGATGGCGGTAGCTGTCACGAAAAATGGAAAATTATATATTACGCCTAAAGTGCAAGCAACCAAACATACATATACACATTGATGAACAAACAGGAAAACAACGTCTTAGATAATGGCCTGTATTTTCGTAAACATGAGCTCCCAGAAGAATGTTATATATGGATTTTGATCTTGAATATACACAGATTAAAATTAGCGTAAATACTAGTTTGTAGCTGCAATGGTGTATTCATAATTGATTAACAAACTTTGGTATTTCGCAAATGAGTTGGGAAAGTAACGTCTTCGAAAATGGTCTTTATTTTCGTATACACCAACTCTCACAAGAATTTTGGACATTAGTATTGATCTTAAATATACAGAGTTTAAAATCAGTAGCTTTGGTATTATATAGCTCTTCCCTGTTACGTAACTTTTGTTTAGTAAAAAGTTGCGAAAGGATGGCGCCCATCTTATGCAATCATGAAATGTTAAGTAATTATAAAAAAGTTCATTACTTTACGAGTTATTAACGAAAATCGTTTCAAACTCGCAATTTTTAAATATTTGATGATATATAACAAATAGAAATTAAAAAAAATGTAACACAGACAAAAATGTTATAATTAATTTAATAGTTCCAATAAAACTTGTACAAAAATAGGCATTTATTCACGGTAAATTTTGCACAACCCACATTCATTAAGTAGATAAAAATTTAATAATAATTGTTAATTGGCTAGACGTAGTAAAGATGCAGTCTTTGCATAATTAGTATGCAGCTAATCACCTGAAATAATCAAATTAGTTATAAAATTAATTTAAAAAATATGGACTTTTTCTTTCTAAAAATTACAATTACTAAATATCTCATAAAGTATACAAAACAAAAACAAATAAAACGGTAACGGAAGGAGAAAATGGTATAAAATAAACAACAAAATGAAAAGTAAAACAAATCTATCCGAAAATGCTCATTAAAGTGCAGAATGTCTTTTGTATTCGGAATATTCAACATATCCATCATTATTCTCGTCAAGTTTCCCTAGCAGTGGATCAATTATTTCAGCGAACTCGCCATCAGACATGCTAGGTTGTGGACCATCACCTGGACCTAAACAAAACAAATAAGATGATCAAGAACATGTACACAATTAGGTTCTCATCATCGAAATCATTATAATTAGATACCGTCATACATAGTTACAACGTATTGATCTATGTCGATAATATTATTCCCTGCTATTGTTTTATATTATAATCCTTCAGGATAAATTATTACCATGAGATATTACTCTCAAATAATTCCCTAAAATGAAATACTAAATAGGTAGAGGATTTGCTCATTGCTTTTGTTAATGTAAAACAAATATTAATTTGCAAATATAATAAACAATAAACATTTCAAGATGCAATAGAGCATTTGCAAAATTTGCTGTAGAATAAATTTAGAAACTTATATAGAAAATAAAACATACACAGCCAAAGCAAATTCATAGAAAACAAAATTAGCAAAGTATATAAAATTAAACAAAGACACAAACAATATTAGCAATCCAATTAAACAAAACCAACAGAAAACGAAAAATTGAAATAATAAAATGAATGATATATATAATAAAATAATATTATTTCAGTATTTATTGACAGTTTTTACAATTACAAATTGTATAATATTTGGATGTGTGCAGTGTTGTATTGACTTCACGTTGAGATGCATTAAAGTATCAGCTTTAATTAGATGAGATATGATAAAGCAGTAGAAGACATACATTACTTAGGAGAAGCGGCAGCGGCTTTTTGCTGGGCTCGCACAAATTCGGGATAGTCAATATACCCGTCTTTGTTCGTATCGTCCATGGATAGGATGGGATCGATGAGGGTGTTCAATTCCTCGTCCTTAAAGATCTTGTCATCCACTTTGTTCGCGGCATTCGGGTCTTTGCTTCCCTGTTCTAAAGTACACACATGAAGCAACAAAAGACAACAGGAAGCAAAACACACTTCACACTAAACTTATACTACTCTTACCATGCCAATGTATTAAGGATTTGATCAGTTCACATCCATCCAGTTTATTGTTATTATCAGCATCATGCATTTTGAAATAGTGGAATTGCAATTCCTGATCAGTCATTTTGCTGGTGTCTATGGGCACCTCCATATGCTCAGCAATATGTCTGTAATTGGTCTTTGTTAATTCAAGTGTTATGAGCATAAGTTAAATGTTACTCTTTTTCTTGGACTATGTTAGCAGCATTCAGGATTTGTCCTGGCTGTGGCATAGCATGTGCATGATGATGACCTTGCTGCTGCTGCTGTGGTACATGCTACAAAAAAATATGGTAAGTTTCACAAAAGATTATTAATCCAAGACAAACATTTACTTGTTGCTGATGCTGCACAGGTACTTGCTGATGTTGCACTTGCTGCTGGTGCACTTGCTGCTGGGTTTGTTGAATGGGCACTTGTTGGAATTGCTGTTGCTGCTGCTGCTGTTGATACTGTGGCTGTTGTTGCTGCTGCTGATATTGTGGTGGAGGCGGTTGCTGCACAATAAAAACCATATTGTTTATACAAAATCAGTATTAAAATCATTCAATACATACCTGGTAATGTTGAGGATTAACACCTGGCACTACCCTTTGAGCAACTACATCAGAACCACTTAGTAGAAACACCGCCAACGATAAGAAAATAAGCCACATTTTAGCCTAAAACAAATCTTCTTGAAATTTCTATACTTAAACCACAAATTAAATGAATTTATCACTCATTAATATCAATTTTTCGCGGTGAGAGTTCGTAATTTTATTAGACACGTACCTGTAGAAAGTACACGTAAGACAACTACGAGGATCTGGGGGACTTGTGGAAAATTTGATACTTGGCCACTATATGGCGCAGTCATCGAATCTCAGTTCAACAGAAGTATTTAGTGGGCGCCACCGGTGACCATCGCCAAATAATTTCATATTTAAAAATTCTTACAAGAAATCAAACAAATTCAACTGTTAATATTTATTAAATATAAGATTATCGATAAACAACTTAACATCGATATTTTTCATTTTTTATGTAGAGAAAATGCATTTAAATTAATATTTTGGTAATGTATTAGATTTATAATATAGTAAAAAAGATTTATTATTTTTTTATTCCATTCGAGTCCAATTTCTTAATTTTAGCAATAGTCTGTAAAAAAAACATAATTTTAGCTTAAAAAAATAGATTTATTGATTTCAGTTACCAATTGTTTCAAATTGACTCGGTGACAATTATTGCGAAATTTTATATGCTCTTCAACCGACATAAGACAAGTCTTACATATTTTCAAGCTGGAGGCATCATCGGATCTTATCTGCAAAATAATTTAGTGTGAATCAATGACACAGAGAAATATGATCAAGTATATGAATTAACTAACCTTTATACCAGTTGTTATTTCTATACATATTGGTAATAATATTCCTTCAATATGCTGACACTCAGATCCATAAATATCTGAGATATCCTCACAACTAGAGCACAAACGGCAAGACATATTTAATATCACGTCGGCTATCCTTGAAGAAATAAAACGTATGTTTTCATACCAACTTTAAACTATGTCAATTTTACCAACTCAAATATTTAAAAACTTATTTAATTTATAGTACTTTTTCTTCGCACGAAAATTACTAGAATTGCTCATCTGATGTGAACTGTTCACCAGGAGAGCAATGCCGCTATGTATTGTGTTTTGTCATCTCGATCCGCCATCAAAGCTGAAACCAAAACAAATATTTAACCGCCGTCATTATAATTGAAATAAGGACTTCTTCTTCTTATCC